CACAGACACAGACCTTCCTCAGGAAACCTAACAGGGCATGAAGCCCACTATGAATCCAGCCCCACTTACTACAGAAAATCAAGACCATCACAAAAATCACATTCGGTCTTACTGCCACATTATACACAAATACACCACATTCATAAACAGTTTAGTTTATCTGTCAGGAACAGACATCATGTAGCCTTCACACTGGTAAACAATTACTCATAGAAGCCTTAAGTATTTGGTGACTAAATATTTATAACAACCTAACAATTGCCTAACATGTTCCTCAATTACTGTATTTTATGTTTTCTTTCAAATTACTCCTATAGACAGAACTTAACTTCCTCTAAGAAATAAAGCAGAAAAACTAACTTCTACAGGAGAGAAGTTCTTTTTACCTTCTCAAAACCAACTTTTTTTGGGAGTTTGTCATGATACAAAGCAAGTCACTACCAATAAGCAAGAACAGAACTAATCATAATATGCTGCCTGGAATTGAAGCTACAAAAGAAACCCCAAAACTTACTTCCAAAGTTTGCTTGAACTAGAAAACATATTTTCTTTGGAAAAACAAAAGTGCCACAGTTCTTGTTTCACAAACACTGAGCAGTGAAGGAAGGCCAAGAGTTTAAATGAAATCCACATGAACTTGGATCCCAAAGGGATTGGGACACTGATGAGAAACTGCAACTCCCCAGAAACTCTCCAGCATCCTTCACAGCCATCAAGTTAAAACTGAGGCTGCATTACAGCAGAACTTAACACAGGACCAATTACTACTTACCTGGAGGTTTTTTGATCAAGTCACCATCTCAAATTATTCTGGACAACAAATTCTATGTGACCTAAAATCTGAGGTTTAGTATTTGATGCAATAAGGCCTGGTTTGGCTCTTGCAAAAACAACTGATATTAAGGCTATGTTTAATTCAGATGACCTGAAAAGACAGAACATTCAGAAGAACACGACTTTCAGTGAAAGTTTGTCAGAAAAGCATAAAGAGATTAAAAATTGCTGTGTTTAAAGGAAATCTCCCTGCCACAAGCTCACTGAAGTAGTAATGTTTCTTGGCACTAGTTCTTAGTACAATAGTAAGTGCAATACCATGGCACTAGTTCTTGGTACAACAGCCCATGAGCACCTTTGTTTTTTATGAACTGCAAACTCTACATAAAGGCCTTTAGCACTTAGAGGAGTTTTAATGTGTGCATGTTCCAATATAACTCTTAAATATTGTGACCAGCTGCACCAGTCCATCTAATAAAGTAGGATGCAATAACCACAGAGACCAAAATACAGGCAGCACTCCACCCACTTTCATCTAGGCACAAATGCAGAATCTATTTCCAGTCCCTGTCTGCTGCTGATGAATAGCCTGAAGCACAAGAAGTTCAACTGAATTTGTCACACTGGACATTTTGAATTGGACAGTGGCCCACAACAGTGAGAAAGGTGCTTGCTGTGCTAGCACTATAAGCTTTTCTCCTGTTTTTATCAACGGCTTCACAAGAGGTTTTTAAAGCCACTACATTGCCAACAGTACAACAGCAGCCATCAAGTATGTTCAAATGAAATCAAACTGATGACAGCTTAAGTTCAAGCTGGAGGAATAATGTAACAGGCTTGAGGTTAGAAGAACACCCATTCTGTTACTCTTGGTACAGGACTTCCAGCAGGAAGGCAGACATGTGGATGGGGCCCTCTTCAGCTCCTCCTCCACCCCAGCCTATGCCATGATTCACACCCCAAGGACATCGACACCCAAAAGTCTTCTAGGCCACTGAAGTTCATCAGAAGTGAACTAATCTGAAAATAAGAAAATTCTTAATAGTTTCCCTTAGTTCAGTATGGCAGACAATGAAGAGGTGCTTCTTGCTTTGTTTTGGTGATGGTTTGTTGCTTACCCTGTAACCATCCCTCCCTAAATGAGACTAAAATCCAGCTGTAAACTGATTGCAGTAAATACTAAGAAAAAACTTCAGCATTTATAGAAAACAGTTGTTACATTACACTATAAACATATGATCAATAAATCACAGAATAGTCCAGGTTGGATGAGACCTTCAAAGACCATCTGGTCTCCCATGAGAAAGGGAGCCCAAACGAGACAAATTATCTAGCACCCTGTCCAATCATATCTTGAAAACCTCCGGTAATGGAGACTCCATCATGTCTCCAAGGATATTTTCCCAGTGACTGACTGTTCTCACCGCAGAAAAAAAAAGTCTTTCTTAAATCAAATGAAGCCTCTCCTGGTGCAACTTGTAGCCATTGCCCTTTGTCTTCTCCATAAGCTTCCTTGTCAAAAGAGAGCCTCTGTCTTCTTTGCACCCACCCTTGAAGTAAAATTCAACATGTTTGCTCTGATTCTGATTTATATGAAAGTTTGAATCAAAGTTTGGGAACCACTGTCTTACCCTTATCAGTAAACTAATGAGCAACTATGAGCCCTCAAGGTTCCTCATCACCAACACACCTACCCTGAATTTCTATGTTTCAACATACAGCCATTCCAGAATTAGGAGGATGAATCAGGCTGCTTAGCAAAAGAATTTGTGAAGTAATATGAAACTGTGAATTACTCCCAGAGACCTCAAGACCATCACTTGTAAACTTTCTGGTTTGTTTGTGAAATGTGTCACCAAAAGAGCCTTTACCTTCATCCTCAGAAAGCTTTGCTGCACCAATACAACTGGTCACAAAAGTACATATGAATATTTCATTATTATCTCCCAAGAGCTTAAAAGGCTATAAATGACCAATGAATGAGTTCACACATGCTGTCCAACAGACAAATCACCTTCCTTCCATCAAATATATTTAAATGTTCAGCCACAGACATTTCCCATTTCATTTTTCAGCCCTAAAATATATCCTTAACAGAGGATATATTAATCTTTAATCTGCACCCTTAAAGCCAAAACTATCTCATTTTGTAAACTCTTACCCCGCAATGTCAGCAAATTAACATCCCAATCAATTTTTCCAAGACCTAATCTGTACTAATTTGCCAATCATTAGCCTTTTTTTTTTTTAAGAAAACACTATCTCCATATTTTAAAGCGTTTCCCTCCCACAAAAAAATTCTAAAACCAAATCCCAAACATTAGTTTCTACAGTTAAAACTTTAAATGACAAAACCATTTAAGCCAAACAACCACTTAGTTCTGAGTTTCTTTCCCATGCTACCACCATTGACGTTAGATAGTAGTCCCTTTCCAAAAAGGGTTGCACGTTCCACTTCTGTAGGTTCTAGACTCTTTTTACTGGGTTTTGAAAGTGTATTTAACAACCTCAAGCAGGAATTTTCCCTGACTAGACACATGGACATAGGTGTGGGACACCTCCGTTTTTTTTCATTCAGCAAGTGCTGCAGTGACCACCAAGACTAAACAAACACTGTTTATATGGGGCAAGGATCACATTTAATTGGCCACCATTTATGGATGGGCCCGGTGTTAACGCTGAACAAACAACTGCTTGTGCCCTCTTAGCACAAAGGGATCCCAATTCAAGAATAGACACAAACGGAACTCTACAACAAAACAAAAAAAAAATCAATCTTGAAATTGCAGTTTCACCACTCTGTTGAAGGTTGCCTGCTGCTGCATTGCACCTTTGCCCATGAAACCAGGCTCATTCAACTTGCAGCAGTTTTAAACATGAGAACCAAAATGCCTCAAAAGTGACACTTTCTTTAAATTGCTGTCCTCACAATACCACAAAAATTTCCTGACATAGAACAGCCATGCAAAATCTGCTTTCAGACCTCATATAACCAACCTGAACCACAAAAATGAGCACAAATATTTCTGTAAGACAACTTCAATATTGCAGTATATTAAATACTATTAAAACAAGGGCCAAGATATTTTAATATTTGCTGTTTTACCAATCAGTGCTGTCCTTCTGAGCCTTCTTCCCAAAACGTCCTCCTAAATTTGGGAATTTCTTTGTAACATTTACCTTTAGGTATGGTAACATTTACCACAGGAATTGTAATTGTAAATCTGTACTTTGTTACCCATCAGAGTAACCGTGGAGCAGGGTCTGACACTGAGGTGAGTGAGTAGGGGATGAGCCACGACTTTTCTCGCTGACAACAGAGACTAAATCACCACAAACTTTTGTACAGACAAGGTCAAGTGGGTCAACTGACAACTCTGAGCAGCCTTTTTCCAACCTGCTATTCCTAGTGAAAGCAAGGCCCAAAGCAGCAGAAACAGACATGTTCTCTTAACTGTATCTCTCTTGCACACCCAAGTATGCAAATCTTGGCAAATCTTTCTTTTAATCACCCAACCAAATATTTTCATTTTAGAGTTTGCTTTATATACCAATCAGAACCACAGAGGGTTTTGAGCTGTCATTTAAAATGCTATGTGTAGAGGTGGCCTTAGTCAAGAAAAAGCACAGTGAAACACCTGAGAATCCTGGGGTCCAGTACTGACTTCATTTTACACTTTTCAAGTGAGACCCTTCTACTTCTGGACACTCTGTAAAATGAATTATAACCACACCCCAGATTAGAGATATGTTACTTAAACACATCACACACTGCACCCGCAAAAACTATGGGAACGAATACCCACCGTCCCCGAAGGTGTTTTAAGGAAAGACTGAACACTTATTGCCACGGTGGTACTGGGTCACGGGTTGGACTCGCTGATCTCAGAGCTCTTTCCCAGCCTCGCTGATTCTGCGAACGCCATTAAGTACAACACACCCATCCCCCGGAGGCCCCGTGAGTGGCGAGGCCGCTCTCCCCTCGGCCCTGCCTCGGCCAAGGGGCCACACCAGCTCCCATCGCCGGACGCCGCCGGCTCCCAGGGGTAGGAGCGGCGCCCGTGGGGCCTCCCGCTGCCCCCGATCCCGTCCCGCCGGCCCTGACCACGCCGGCTCCGCTGCCCTCCCTCCGCGACCACCCCAGGCCCCGCAGGACCCCCCGGCTCCCACAACGCGCTCCGCCCCGGGCCGGCCCCGCGCCCCGGGCCAGGCCCCCGCGCACCCACCTGCGCCTCCTCCCAGCGCGGCAGCCATGGTTCTGCGCCCCGGCCAGGCGGCGGCGCCGGCGGCGGGTCGCGGCAGCGCCCCGGCGCCACCCGCCGGAGCGGCGGGTCCCGGTGACGCCGAGGGAGGTGCCGGGGAAGGACGCGGGGAAAGGCTCGGACTCAACTCCCGGCGGGTCCCGCTCCCGCCGCCGGAGAACAACAAACTAACACAACATGGCGGCCGCCGCCGCTGTTGCCGCCGCGGTGCACCATGGGACGGCGGCGGACCGGGGCCCTCCCCCCCGCGGGGCGGGGCGGGTGGGCGGCGCGCGCCGCTGGTTGGTCACCCCTGCCCACCCCGCCTCCCTCCGCGCGTGCGCGGGGCGGGCGGGCGGTGCGCGTGCGCCGCCGAGGGGGCGGGGCGGGGGGAGCGCGTGCGCGGGGGGCGGGGGCGTCCTGAGGGCGGAATGGCCGCTGGGAGGGGGAAGGGAAAGGGAAGGGAGGAAGGAAAGAGAGGGATCGTCTGTCCCGGCTGCGTGAGAAGGGGGACAAGCAGGGGTTTTACCTGCCCTGGATAAACAGTGGGCAGTGGGAATGGGAGGGAGAGGCTCCCACACCTCCCTGACGAGGGTTTGCAGGTGTGTCTTGCCAACGTGGGCGGCTGCTCGCACTGCCTCTGGAATACCTGGCTCGCGTAGGATCGCAGAGTCACGGAGTCAGTTAGGTTGGAAAAGACCCCTGAGATCATCGAGTTCAAACTTTTATTCAACCCCACTGTGTCAACCAGACCATGGCACTGAGTGCCACATGCAGTCTTTGCTTAAACGCCTCCAGGGTCGGTGACTCCACCACCTCCCTGGGCTGCGCGTTCCGATGTCTAATCACACTTTCTGTGAAGAAGTTCCCCTGTTGTCAACCTGAACCTCCCCTAGGCCCACCTTAAGACTCTGTCCTCTTGTCCTATCACTGGTTACCTGGGAGAAGAGACCGCCCCGCACTTGGCTACAACCTCCTGTCAAGGAGTTGTGGAGAGAGAGAAGGTCACCCCGAGCCTCCTTTTCTACAGCCTAAACACCTTCAGCTGCTTCTCACGGGACTTGTGCCCCAGACCCTTCACCAGCTTTGTTGCCCTTCTCTGGACATGTCCCAGCACCTCAATGTCGTTCCTTAATTGAAGAACCAGAGCTGGATGCACTGAGCTGCATGGAGGCTTCATTAGGTTGTGGGTGCAGCATGAACCCCCAAGTTCAGCTGCCTGTTGGGTGAGAAAAAACCCATGAGTTAGTGGGATTAAAATACACCACAAAAGGGATAGTGTAGGGAGAGTTACATAGATCTGTGGTCCCCCATCTTTTAAGGCTTGAGTGTGCAGGGGAGTAACACATGTATAAACTGAACTAAACCAGTTCAGACCACGTGGTTCTTGCTTCTCCACTCAAACGTCACCGGAGCACACACTGTACAGGTTCAGTGTTACAACATGCTCAGTCTAGTTCACTGCAGGCTGTGCGTCCTTCTCTGCTGTCACTCTAAGCACTTCCCTCTTGGCTGCTTGGCTCCTTGCTCCCCTCTCCTTTCCAAAGGATCCAGTGATCGCACGCCTGCCAAGTGTATCAGTTTGGATCACTGATCCCACAGAAAATCAATTACCTAAAAAAACCAAATCTTTTGAGTTTCCTTCCTGCCCTCTCCTGGTATTAAAAGGGGAAATTAGGACTTGTGGCATTCTGCACAGACCAGGTTAAGCACAATATAAAATTATGCCACTACTTGTGAAGAAACCAGATCTGATCTAAAACAGTTTAATGGAGCCTACTATAACAAGACTAGTTCAAGTAAACGGCGAAACTTTCCCAGTTGGACAAGTCCTCATGGAAATAATTAACAATGTTAGTATTTAAATTATCGGCGTTATCTGATTAAACCCTCGCTATGAGAATAGGGAAGTTCTCATGTCACTTTGTTCTGTGCTCCCTGCAGACTTGTCTCTACATTGCGTTTGATCTCATTTTTCAGGTTTCCTTCACAACTACAGGAGCTAGAGGTTTATTCTATGTTTATTCCTGCACTCTCACAGCCAAATTCTGTCTTTAATTTAAGAAATAGACCATTGGTAGGTGATGCTTGCTGATAATTTAATATGTAGTCCTTCAGACCATCTCTGATTGCCTGATGTAGGAGTGATGAGTGAATACTAGAACTGTCAGTGGCAAAAACCTATGATGATTTCAACAGGGACAGGATTTTCAGTTGCTCTTTGGTATTGATCTTTTTTAGTGAAGCTGGTTTGCAATACAAAAGGGTTTCATGGTGAAGGACGGAGTTTCCTGGACCCTCTAAAGACAGGATGGAGGAGAAGTGTGAGGGGCAAGACTCAGTCAGTTGCAGCTGCAGCCTGTTAAAATTCACAGATGTCTCGTCATAATTCTCTGTATCCCTTCTGTTTGAGACTGAGAAATTAGGTGTTAAACATAAGCAGTATTCACAATGAGCAGCTTTTCTGACATTCAGATACATAGAAGACTGTATTTTATGGGTCTTTTATGCTCTATATTTTTGTTCATTTTAATATCTAATTTGATTACTATGACTGACACTCCAAATAGAACTCAATTTACCATTTGCTTAACACACCAATCCAATGTTAAAGAGGAATAACAGAATACTTAACTATTATTTTGTTAATATACAGAAACTTCAGCCATTTTGCACAGCTCTAGTACAAAAAAAATGACCATTCCCAGATATCTGAACTTCAGTAGCTGTGGAACAGGGACCTAAACAATAATGGCAGAGACAGGTATGGTGACTCTGCTTACCTTCGCTCAGGACTTTCTATGAGTTTTCAAATTCCAGGAGCTATAGTTGCTCTGGATTCTATACAAAAAACTCCAAATTTTTCTCAGTACTACATACCCTGTGCTATAAAATGCAAGTGTGCTCGTGCCTTTTTAATAAGTTAACATACTTGCAGCCTCTGGAATCCATGAATTAAAATTACTTTACTGGTCATCATCACTTTATTAAATACTTTTGAAAGTTCTGCATAAATAATATATTTGCCTGTGAGTCTTCCAAAGCAAATCCGTTTGCAGTTGGGAGTGCAACAAATTGTCTTGCAAGGTGATTAAGTGAATAACAGAGAACTCCAGATCCAGTAATTCTGGTTCTGTGCTTGCTGCACTACTGGGGCACTTGCTTTGCGTCTCCTGCCCCAGATTTCCCTTTCTAAGCTGATAAGAATAGTGCTAAACTTCTTCTTTTAAGCCTTTCAGTAAAAACTGTTGTGTCCTAACTTCTGTACATTAAGCTGTTTCCACAGCAATAGTCATTATCACTTTTATTTATACTGGGTTTGGATGTTAACTTTTTTTTTTCAAAATACTTAGTAGCTTATTTTTGGAGCAGGCACAATCACTTTTTAATGTTTTTTATATTTAAATCATTATTTATTTTTGCACACACACTCAAATGGTTAAAAATCACCAGTCAGGAATCCAGTACAGCAGCCTTTTGAGTTTAATTCCTTTAAACACTTAAAATTAATACGAGGGCATTAAGAACAGTGTTATCAACAGCAAATTTTTCCTAATTCCCTGGAGAAAATGTGCTTCTAACTTATTTTTTTAACCATAGTTACCTCTTTATGAGCTTTCTTTCTAGTCTGGCAAAACCAGACTGTGTTTTCATAGCATGAGAGGCTGGCCCAGAGGGATGGGCCAGTTGAGGGTTTGCCTTGTAACCTCCTTGTGTTGAACTTCTCAAAGTGACACTCAACTCCGAGGCAGTTTTCCATTCAAAGTTAAACCTGTCTTTGGATGAATTCCTCCGAACCAGACAATAAACAACTCTTGGGTTATTTCAGCAACATCCTGCGATGCAACAAATGTTCTGTCACACCTGACAGGAGATTCTGGATTTAAAATGTACAAATGAGGGGTGCAAAAGCAAATTCACTCTCTTGTAGGTGTTATTGGGCCTGATCTATGACCTGTTGGCAGTGGCAGCAATCGTAGGAGGCAGCAGTACCTCTTGAAAGATAGCCACAGGTGAAACATGCTTTCTCTTTGAGCAAATTCCCTTGAAAGGCAGAGGTAGATTAGGGAGTGGAAAAGACTTAAAAAATAATAAATGTCTTACTTAAGAAAAGAGAACAGTATGAGGATTAATACAAAGTATATGGAAAACGCTGGTGTGATAAACTTTGAACAGAAAACATTCTGAGTGTGTTTCAGCCCCAGGACTATCTGTAGTTTCAGAGCTGTGGGCAGTTTCATGTGTACCAAATTTTGATATCACTGTAATTTTTCTTTCTGTTTCCTTCTGCATTCTTGTTACATATTTATCCCCTTATCCTCCTTGTTGTCTGCAATCCACTTGATGCATCTTATTTCTACTGTAGTTTCTTCAGAGCAATGTGACCCTGGGACCCCTGAAACAGCTGCAAGGGTGGAGAACAGGAGAGCCTGTGAGCTGAGAAATGGACTGAACAAGCAATATGTCAAGTGTGTTATTAATGTGTCACGTGTGGAGTCCCTAGAAAGCTGATCAATCACCAAAGATCAAAATCTCAACAGAACATATATCTTCTTGTAGTGTAAAATATAAAAATTATTACCAGCTCCAACTGGCTGCAGGGAGGTTTGGGCTTTACTTTGGCTTCTGAACAGAGAGCAGTACTCAGAAGCCTGGGTATTGCTCTGGACCCCAGTGTTTGCAATATATTTTAGGGATCTAGAGAAAAGAAATCAAGAAACACCAAGTGTTAAATATATTACAGTGGCTTATTTCTATTTTTTTTTTCAGTCTGGATACTGAAAGTCTTAATGACTAAGCTTTGCTTTGTTTCGCCAGGAAGCTCATCTGGTGTCAGGACAGCAGGGGAATTGGGGTGAAGCTGACAAATGTCAGTCCTTCCTTGGAAGAATGACTCAATGCAGTAGAAAATGTCTAAGATCTCCCATTCTTAGGTAAAGGAAGTGGTAGCTCATGATAAACATATCAGAATAAACAAGTCTTGGGAGTGTTTCCCAAGATTTCCTGACAAGGAGCCAATGTACAGCATCGTTGGCCTTGCCCAAATGCTGAGCTTTGGGAAGGGCTTGCTTGGTCTGGACACAGGCCAGGCTGTAAAAGAGCAGAAGGACATGTGATGGCTCTAGGCAAACCTAGCATCACAAGGAACTCCTGTGACTCAGATTCTTGTGGCCCATACCTGTGAGCAAAGCCCCATGCTTGGTGG